AAACTTATTATATTCAAAATTGTGACGTGCAACTATCAAGCCGTGCGATTCAGGGTTTAACATGAACAAAAATAGTAACCGCATTGCATATGCGGTCGTGGCGCATAAGTGCGAGGGTTCTCAGCCACCCGTTCAAAAAGTTACCCTCTTCGAGGCTCGAACTCACATCGAAATGGTAAATGGTTGTGCTCTGCTCCATAAGGTTGGTCACACGTTCGATTCGGGGAGGCAGTAGTGGGGAAAGCAAATTGGGTCTGCTAGGCCACGGACAATGTTCCTACTGGGGGTGGGGTCCAAGCACTTCATAATGAAGAGCCGCTCCTATTTGGTGTGAAACAGGAACTAGCCAGTAGGTTGACATGCTAGACTTTCACCCAACGGATACAAGGATTGAGTCCAATATGATACTTGGGCCAGCTCTTTTTGGAGCGGCCCGTTCTGGAAGCAGCATGGCGTGGACGATTTCGACCGCGCGATCACCCAAATCACACGGCCGAAACCGGCCCTGCAGATTGCATGCCCCCAACGCAAGGATAACACACATAAATCAAAAAATGGTCCAATATTTTTTTTTTTTTTTTTTTTAGGTGTGCATTCAATAGTTCATGAGTGTGTCCTTGTCAATTAGAAAGCAGAGATGGGTCGTTGGCTTTCTTAAAAGAGGAGGTGAGGGGGGGGAAACGAAAAACTAAAACTACTCGCCAAGTGATGCGTATAGGAGGATGAAATCTCCCCGACTAACAAAAAACGCTAATTTTAAACGGATAACCACTTTTCGTTTCAGGCAAGGTTTTTTTTTTTTTTTTTTTTTTTTTTTTTTTTTTTTTTTTTTCCCTTAGTTCCTCCCCTCCTGTTTTGCAGCGTGGTTGGCGCTGCTTTTAGTAGATAAACGGGCACCACGAGTGGAAGGGGCAACGCTCCACCATCCACCACATGCACAAACGACAAAATTTATGGTGATGTATCTTTCTGTGTTCTACTAGAGGATTCATTTCCCCTACGGTGCTATGTTCCTTGGGAGAACGGGTACACACCTTTCCATTTGGATTTGCACTCGAGCCTACATTTCAACAGTTGGTGAGTGTACCAACAGGGAGGTAAGTCCTTTTTTTTTTTTTTTCAGCCCCCATTTTGTGGACGTTTGGGGCGTTGGGGTTGGAAAACGAGGAGGGGGTTATAGCAGACAGCAAGAAAGAAAAAAAAGGGGAAAAAGAAAGAAAAAGGGAAAAAAAACGAGGCAATTGTGCCTCAAAGTTGGAGTACAGCTGTGTGGGAGCATGACGGTCTCCCACCCCGTTTGGGTCAAATATTTTCGACCTTGGGATCTTCGATCCCACGGCCAATATCGTCGCGTGTGAAGGGAAAGGAGTTGGGGAAATAGAGAGAGAGGGAGAAAAAAACGAGGAGAATTGAGCGGAGGAGGACCTACCTCTACCAACCTGTCAACTGCTTTCCCCGTTTTCACGGGAGGGCAGAGGAAATAAAAGGATGTGATGTTGGTTTAACATCACGTTCCTAGCTTGAATCGAGGCCAGGGACGATGCAATTTTGGGGGTTTGGTTTGTTTTTTGCTTTTGTTGTAACTTTTATTTGTGTAGCGTCCTCGTGAGGACACTTGTCTTCACGAGGTGCAGCCTCAGGCAGAAACTGCCAGAGGCAACTGTCAGACTCCCGTTCTCAGTGGAAGTCTGAAAAATTACAGGTCATGAGGGTAAAGGTTAGGTTCAACCTTTCCCTTGACGTATCTGTCTTTAGAAAGGGGCCAGATACGTCAAACTGAAAGGGGTTGTATCTTTTTAACCCCATCTCAGAAAAAAAAAAAAAAGAAAAAAAAAAAAACACTTTTGAAAACACCAAAATCTCAGCTATCTCATGAAATTCCGCAATAGATGAGGTAAATCAAAGAAAACTGAAAAATAGGGCAGTTAAAGAAATTGCCCACACTAAGTGTGAAGCTCAAGTTCAACTAGTCACTGCCTTTGAGCTCACTACAAATCAAAGGCACAAACAGATCCTACAATTTTGGTTGGGGGTTGAGTGACAGGCTACACTCCTCCAGCTAGTATAAAAGAGACAATTGTCTCCAACTGCGACACAAAACAATTATGCTGCTCGAGCGTTGTCATACACTCCGAGAGCAGAGAGACTGGTACAGGAGCTACTAGAGGGGCGCTGACGAAGTGGAGCAGTAGGGAAGCCATAGCTTGAGGCAGGGAGCACTCTGCTCCAGCCTCTCGCTGGTGTTGGCCCTTTGGTACTACTCCCGGGTGCACGTAGGTTGACCTAGACTTTGCTTCGCGGCTCAGGAACAACGTTTTGGACCTGGACTTTTCCCAGGTTCAAAATTTTATTACTTTTGCGATACTTTTTCGGCATTGGCATCAGCAGGGCTTTCTTTGAGGTGTTGGTGCTATGTTGTGGCAGGCTGCACCCCATTTGGTGGGGTTATGCTGCCAAATTTTTAGTGCGTCGGTAGCACCATCTTTTTTGCAGGGGGGGGGCTGTTCGTTTTACGGCACGACTACGACGATACTTTCCACTTGGGTTATGCTGTTGAATTTTAGGCATGTCGGCGGTACTAAATTCTAGATGGGATATGCTATAGTTTTTACTGCACGATAATGGTAAGGTTTTTCGGTGGGAAAATGCTGCCTATTTTGTGACGCGTCTGGCGGCACGAATTTGAAGGGAGGTGACGTCAAAATTTTGGCTCGTTGGACTTCTCTTTTGTATGTGATCCGGTGGCAATACTGCAGGGTGTTGTGAGACCGACTGAGACACTACAGAGAGACACAGTGATGATTGGGGTCACAACACTTACAATTTCAAAATTCGAGGCCGCCTTTATTGTTTTTGGGACCTACGAAGTGAGTGATTTTTATAAGTGGAACCATCTGATGCAGAGGGCAATAGTGAGGGACCGCGTGGGACCATTTGGGACCACTTAAAACCAGTTGGCACTAATGTGGGACAGGTGGTTCTTTTGGGACATGTGTGGCTCGCCATCTCACACTTGGGAGTACTCTTCTTTCTTTATGTTCCTGAAGAAAAGGTTTGAGCTTTGTTTATGAAATGAATGACTCAACTCTTGTTCGTCTGTGAAATGTGACTGACCGATTATAAGAAGAGTCATATGAGGCGAAAGTTTGTATGTTTATTCTAAGGGAGATACAAGTCGAGGAAAAAACTTTGTATCTAAGATAAGTAGTTTAGTCTAAAGCCACTCATTTAAGGGGTACTGAAAATACAGTTTTTTATATTCCCTATATATACGAAACATGGCCAATCATACTTTATTTCTAAGATGAATGGTCAGACTATAGCCTTATCACAATAAGGAAAATACAATTAAGAGTCATAACTGAAGGTAACTTGGACAAATTGAGCTTTGTTTCTTAGATGAGCGACTCAATCTTACACCCATATTGAAGATCAAATGCAGAGAAGTGTTATAACTCCTATATCAAACCATCAGTACCTCGTCCAGCTATCAAGTCTGAGGCTCGGACTACTAGTAGCCCGATCATTCCCGAACCTCGAACTTTATCGTCAAGACTAAGGTCTGGCGGGCTTGCCGGATATGCCCTTCATCGGTTCATCATCGCATGGGATGCGGGTGATTTTTTCTCCCTTGCGATTTGCCTTGCCTTTAGGCCTGTTTCAGAGTTTTTGTTATCGAGGTTGACGGGGGTTGCAGAGGTCTCCTATGCCGATTTCGTTCGTCCCGGCTTGGATGGTTTTTGGGGGATACCTACCTGGCTTGCTGGGTACTCACTCGCCTAGGCTACCGTTGCGAATAGCCTGGTATGTCTCTGTTTCCCGTGTGCTATGGTACCCGACAGTTTCGAGGGACCGTAGTGCAGCCCTGGTGACTGTGTGTATATTACCAACGCTCGTTTGTGAGTTTAGTCTCTCACTTGGATCGGCAGTTGCGTCTTATAACACCGACGAGCGCTGCTGCGTTGTCTTGCTGCTCCGTCGCTGGGGTACCTGGCTTCGTCGACTGTGCTGGTTTGTGAACGTGCGAGCGCCCGAGCGTTCGCCTGAGCATGTCCAGCAGTTCCATCGGGATCAGGTGTTTTGCTTCGCTGACGAGTCTTCTTGCCTCTGCTCTCATTTCCGTTGTCGGCGTCATCGTGCGAAACCGTGATCTTGGAATACGGTTGGATTGGCAGATCGGGACTCCTCGAGCTCGCTTCGACTTGCTTGTTTTTGTTTAATTGGCTTGTTGCCTGTTTTCTGGTGTTTGCCTGTGTTTGGCTCGTTGCTGCGATTTTCAGCGTTCTCGTGCTTCGCTTTCTGGAGGACTGGGGTAGGATAGATACTATATAAGATGGCAAGGGTGATGGATGGGCCATCTCGATCTAGTCGTGTGATGCAGGGCACGCTTCCGAACCTCCTGATGATGCTACTAGCGGGGTCGTTGAAACGCGTAGGGGCATAACCGCGTTTTTTGTCGAAGTTATCTTTGGCTCCATTTTGAAGTGAAGTCCTATGCTCTTGTATTCTATGAGAGATGATCTCCTGTTTTTTTCGAGTATCTGCTTTGAGTGATGATTTCTCAATGTTTGCGACTTTTGAGGCATGCGTAATGGAGTGTATGTCTTGGTGAATCATTCGCTTCCATTCTCATGCTGAAAGTTGTTTTTTGCCCAACAGTTTTTCAATTCTGATATCCGTGGCAACCATAAGTAAATTCGTACAATTGTTGGTGGCCGCGTTTCGTAGGTTTTCGTTTTGCTTCGTTTCGTCCCGTTTCGATCTCGAACGAGTATCCTTGTGATTTGGTTGCGTTCGGTGTTTGGAATTGTCCGTGAGCCCCTGGTTTATTTCGGAGGTTGTGTTTGTCGTCCTCCTGTTGAGCGCTTCATCATGAGGATTGTCCTCCGAATTGGTTTTTTGATTGGGGATTACCATAATCCGGACCTAGTTAGGGTTGTTGTGTTCTATGATGAGGTGAGTAGGTCCTTTAGGGTTCGCGTTAGAAGGGACTAGTGGGGCCGTTGCTCTCTCCTTTACCATTCCTTTTGGAATTGATTCGGGGTAGATTTCAGCACCTTTGCGCTCTCGTTGGTGCTAGCCTTCTTTCGCTGTTTGTCCTGATGAGTACAATGGGGACGCCTCTTAAGTGTTTCCAATGCGGAGGAGAAGGGCACTTCGCACGTGAATGTCCTAGTAAGACTCGTAGTAGTAATGGTAATGCGGGGGGTAACGGTGCAGGCCAATCCTTCTCTGCTCCGTCCACTCCTAGATTTTGGACACCAAGAAGGAACCCGGTGGACGATGAGGAAAAGGAGTTCCTCAGGGAGCTTATCACTAAATGGAAGGAGGAGGAGGCGCGTAGGAGGGAGCTAGAGGAGCAGGAGAGGTTCGACGAGAAGCTACGTACAGAGATGGCCAAGTATTCAGCGGCTACGAAGGCGGAGGTTATGGCGGTGATCGGTAGACAGTATTTGGGACATAGGGATGATATTCATAGGGAGGAGATGCGCAGAGGATGGTCGCCACCATCGCGGAGAAGAGAGGACTTCCTCGGGAGAGAGGAAGCTGAGACGGATACCGATGATCTGGATGTTGAGAACCGTCGGTTAACAGCCATGAGGGATAAGAGGTGACGAGGAAAGGAGCCGGTGTGGGGTGGCGGTAGTTTTAGACAACCGACCTTTGACCCAGCGGCTGACCTGGAGGAGGCTGCGACCCGGGCGGAGACATCACGGAGGGGAGAGCAGCGAACCAGGACCAAGGTGCCTGCTGGTAGCGGCCTTGAAGGCATGTTGCAATTCGTTCTAGAGCAAAAGGAGTTGACAGTGATGCGGGAGGAGGAACTCAAGCGTATTTGTGCCAAGGAAGGAGTTCAGTATTGTACCAAGGGTCCCTCCACTGATCGCATTGTTGAGGCACGTACTAAATTGGCGTATGAAGGCTTCGTTTTCTCGTCGGCCACTTCCGCTCCTGGATCCCCGGAGATTGATCTGCACGGGTGACTGAGGGAGTACTCGGTCGCCCGACTCTGGGAAAATCCGCTCACATTCATGCGGAAGAGGTTGCGAGCTTTTCGGGATTCTTGTCCTCCTCACTTCCGACTTTGTATCGAGAAATGTATGACCCTGTGTTTTGTTGCATTGGTCTTGGCTGGGGAAGTTCGGTGGGCTGGGAAATTCGAAGAACTATTGCGTTCTATTGATTGGAATGCGTGGGAATCTGGTCCCGTGGTATATGTCTTGGCCTCCCCTTGGTGCAAGGCTCAGTATGTGGGTAGCTTTGTTTGAGGACTGTATGTACGTTGGGGCGAGCATTTCCAAATGGCCATTTCATGCGGGTTTGGTAGGTGTCCTAGACTGTACCGTTGGTTGCGTTATGTTGGAACTTGGAAGTATGTAGCACTCCCTCTGATGAATGGATTACAGTCAGTGACTCGGTGGATAAGGCGGAATTAGCTATCATTCGTCGGGTTAGTCCTTCTCTCAATACCAAGAAAACAAGGCGAGGAAAGAAACTTTGGGTTCCGCCGTCTAGGAGGAAGAGGGTTGGTTCGGTGCCTTTTATAGCACGTGAGGGAAGTTTTCTTCGTTTCAGGGTTGAGAAGGGGGTTTGGTTTGACAGTCTGTTTAGGTTGTTATGTGATCTTGTTGCAAAAGGGGTGAGATCGGTACTTATTGAATGTTTGCCAGACACATGTTGGGTGGATAAATGGTCTTTGCTACGCCGCTCCTTTGGTACAAGTTCTGTTTCTGGTTTCTTCGGTAACTTTTGCCTTAAGGAAGGGAAGTTTTGTTTTCAACAAGGAGGGACTTTTGTTTTCTCGCCTATCGTGCTTACCCCAAGTGGTAGGGCGATTTGTAAGGGGGAACTGCGTTTGTTGTTGCAACAGCCCTGGCATCGGCGGGATTTACCTCTGTGTTCCGTTGCTACGCTTGTACGGTGGTTTCGTGCTGCTAAGGAGTTCTCAAGGAAGGAGACTCGATCTAGGCTTAAAGGGATAGTGGCGTGCGAGGTAAAAAGGAGGATTGCCTTTGATATTCGGAGAAGAATTGTGGTCCGCATCAAGTTCGATCACAAGTTATCTCAGACAAGAGTGCATGAGTTGGTGATCAGAGTTCTGAAACTCTCCCGCTTTCCCGACCCTGTTGTGCGTTTTCTTTGTTCTCGGGTGCGTTTTGTATGGAAGAAAAATCTTGCCATTGGCGATCTCATCCTGAACCATAGGCGTGTTGCCAGATCGGCTGATCACGTATGCCCTTGTGCTGAGGTGGACCGGGATTGGGATCATTATGGTTTCCATGTCATGAGACGGATTGGGAACATCAGGGGCATTCCATCGGTCTTTAGGAACTCTCGTGTGCCAATGATCTCGAAAAATTGGGGTATTGTGGAGCTAAGTAAATAACTGTTGAAGGTTTGCAGGTCTGTTGGATTCTCATATGTGATTAGCAGGCCGGATTTCGAGGTTTGTTGGGCGTATGCTTTTGACTTTGCCCTCTGTTGATCCTCTCGTGGCCTTGTGGGTTGGGAAGCTTAGACGTTTCGCGTGCGTTCCTATTAATCAGAATTCCTCGGACACCCTGGTGCTTTGCCCTCTGTTGTATTCGCATTTCCAGAAGCTCTCGTTTGATTGGAATCTATCTTTCATTTTGGTTGAGGAAGGGGCTGATAGCATCCTGGATACCATGAGAGCTGCTTTTTTAAACTTTGGTTTGCAGAGAATTGAAAAATGGGACCAGCATGGGAAGTTCGGTCGAGCTTTTGTTCTCTCGAAGCATAAGGACCTTACCAGGTGGAGGCCCATTTCTCCTACCTTTGCTGAGCCGGCTAAGCTGGCCTCTATGCGGGTTGCGCGGGCACTGAACTGTCTGCTGTTTGGTCTCCCCTTGGCGTTTAATTTCAATTTGAAAGCAGTGGATTGTCTAGGTAAGGGATTGTATGGGATGAGCAGGGTTGTTGATCGTTTGGGAAATGTCGCTGACTTGGTATCTGCGTCGTTCGACGTTAAAAATATGTTCGTCTAACTCCCGCATTCGGAGATATTAGCAGCAGTCGAATGGCTTCTTCATATCTACCATGAGAAAGGTTGTCTGGGGGTTTCTGTCGCTAGGCGAGGTGGGGGAGCCCATTTGTCCTCGGGTTCCAGGCGGGAAGCTTGCATTTTTGTCAATCTTTGGGAAATGCGGAACATGGTGGCTTACGATCTGAGGTACACCTTCATCTCGTCCACATCGGTGCTGCTGCAGCAACGGGTGGGTGTACCTATGAGGAAGGCGACCAGCGGTTCACTTGCTTGTATCCTATGTGCCTGCGCTAAGAACAGGTTCCTGGGATCATTGGGTGGCGATAGGAAGTTGATCTTTGGGTTCCGTAGTAGATGATGTGTCTGTTTTTATCGCGGTACGGGGTGCCCATGGGTATGACAAAGCGCAGGGTATTCTCTCCCTTTTCCCCGCTTGCTATGGTGAGAGAATTCGATTGGAAAAAACCGATGATGGTCTTATGAATTGGAAATTTGCCGGGTGCAAATTCAGAGATGTGGTGCGTCAGTGCGAACTGTCCCTTTGGTGAAGAATGCTTAGCATGTTTGGAAGGACGAATTTCTCCCTTTTGGCTCCTTTCACGATTTTTCATCTTATGGACCTAAGAGGGCTAAGATTGGGGTTGTCCTGGGTTCCTTATCCAGGACTCATCGTTGGGCTTCTGATGGTTTTGGTAGGCTGCAGGCCTTTTTGGCCATCCGTGCCAAATTGCTCGTGCGTGACTACCCTTCTAGACTTATGGCGATGATCTTCACCAGATTTGCGCATAAAGTTGGCTCGCCCGAGGGCCGCATCATCGCTCGTATGGTCTGAATGGATCTACAAGACGGGGGGGGGTTTCGAGAGGGTCTGGCAGGCTTGCCGGATATGCCCCTCATCGGGTAATCATCGCATGGGATACGGGTGATTTTTTCTCCCTTGCGATTTGCCTTACCTTTAGGCCTGTTTCGGATTTTTTGTTATCGAGGTTGACGGGGGTTGCAGGGGTCTCCTATGCCGATTTCGTTCGTCCCGGCTTGGATGTTTTTTGGGGGATACCTACCTCGCTTGCTAGGTACTCACTCGCCTGGGCTACTGCTGCCAAGAGTCTGGTACGTCTCTGTTTCCCGTGTGCTATGGTACCCGACGGTTTCGAGGGACCGTAGTGCATCCCTGGTGACTGTGTGAATATTACCAACGCTCGTCTGTGAGTTTGGTGTCTCACTTGGATCGGCGGTGGCGTCTTAGAGCACCGACGAGCGCAGCTGCGTTGTCTTGCTGCTCCGTCGCCGGGGTACCTGGCTTCGTCGTTTGTGAACGTGCGCTCGCCCGAGCTTTCGCCTGAGCATGTCCAACTGTTCCATCGGGATCAGGTGTTTTGCTTCGCTGACGGATCTTCTTGCCTCTGCTCCCGTTTCCGTTGCCGGCGTCATCGTGTGGAGCCGTGATCTCGGAGTACGGCTGGATTGGCAGATCGGGACTCCCCGAGCTCACTGCGACTTGCCTATTTTTGTTTGATTGGCTTGTTGCCTGTTTTCTGGTGTTTGCCTGTGTTTGGTTGTCTTGTGTAGGGGGATCTATGCCGACGTGCAGAATGAAGTTAGCACCTCTCTCCTTTTCGTCTGGTATCCGTTCGGCTAACTCTTGTATTACTTCTTCGTTGCTGCGATTTTCAGCGTTCTCGTGCTTTGCTTTGTGGAGGACTGGGGTAGGATAGATACTATATAAGATGGCAAGGCTGATGGATTGGCCATTTCGATCTAGTCGTGTGATGCAAGGCTTGCTTCCGAACCTCCTGATGATGCTACTAGCAGGGTAGTTGAAACGCGTAGGGGTATAACCGCGTTTTTTGCGAAAGTTATCGTTGGCTCCATTTTGAAGTGAAGTCCTATGCTCTTGTATTCTAAGAGATGATCTCCAGATTTTTTCGAGTATCTACTTTGAGTGATGATTTCTCAATGTTTGCGACTTTTGAGGCGTACGGAATGGAGTATATGTCTTGGTGAATCATTCGCTTCCATTCTCATGCTGAAAACTGTTTTTTGCCGAACGGTTTTTCAATTCAATTCAAACCGGTAGTACATCACAAAAAGAAAAGAAAAAGAAAAAAAAAACACTGAAAAACATACAACATTAAGCAAAACAAACAAAAAAGAAAAAAAGGAAATCAGACATGCCCAACGAGAATAAATCTTCCTCGATAAAGAGGAAGATTCATTCTCGTGAGAGGTTCATTCACAGAGAGGGAAACAGAGAGAGAGTTCAAATGTGAATGAATCGTCCGCGTTATTGCGGAAGATTCATTCGTATTTAAACGTTTTGAGAGAGAGAGAGGGGGGGAGAGAGAGAGGGGGGGTGTCAGGGAGTGTCTGACCCCGAGTTTGGTGGTTGGTGGACCAAACTCGGCGTCAGACACTCCCTAACGTCGTCTCTCTCTCTCTTTCTCTCTCCCTCTCTCTCTCACACACACACAAAAAAAACGTTCGAATGTGAATGAATTTTCCACGATAACGCGAAAGATTCATTCACATTTGAACGTTGAGAGAGAGAGAGAGGGGGAGAGAGGGTGTCAGAGAACGTTCAAATGCGAATGAAACTTCCGTGTTATCGCTGAAGATTTATTCGCATTTGAACATTTTGAGAGAGAGAGAGAGAG